TCCACACCCCCCCCCCCCACCCCAAACCTCCTGAGGTTCCTCCTGCATCATCTTCTGGAGAACTCAGGGTTGGGCTCCAAACGTCACAAGTGTCCTTTTTGGGGGGGGGAGGGGGAAGAAAATGGACTTTTCTGGCCTCCAACCATCCAAGATCCCTCCAGGAGGTCCCTCCAGCCCCTCAAGTCCCCCCAGATCCCTCCAGGAGGTCCCTCCAGCCCCTCCAGTCCCCCCACATCCCTCCAGGAGGTCCCTCCAGCACCTCCTGGCAGCGTCCAAGGGCAGGTTGGATGGGCCTTGGAGCCACCTGGTTTTGGGTCAGATTTGGTGCTTTTTGGGTCGTTTTCTTCATGTTTGTGGTTTTCCCTCCCCCTCTTGATGTTGAAACTCCGGTGACGCGCGTCGTGTTTTCCCCACGGGCTCATCTCGGAATGGGGGGGGGGGTTTAGGGATCAGGAGGGGAAACCAGCACGGACACATTGTCCAGGAGATGTGGGAGGACAGGCAGGTGGATCAAAACTCCTTTGACATCTGCCCTGACACGTTCCTTCAAAGACCAACCTCAAAAAAACATGTTGGCTTTGATTATCTCGATGATTAAGGCGCCGCGTCCTCTTGGTTGCTCAAGTTGTTCCTCTCAATTCCTCCTGCCCTAAAGCTCCTTGGAAACCACGTTCCTCACCTCAAACCTGTTGGGACATGGAAGGGTGGGGACCCAAGTGGATCAACCAGCACAGGATGGAGGAAGAAGAAGGAACAAGAGGGTGAGTTTTGGGTTGGGAATCGTGTCGGGTCTTTTTCTTCATGGAAGGAGAAGAAAAGGAGACAAGGGTTGGTCCTTCAGGTGTTGGGCATCAACTGGGTCTTGGATGGTGGATGGAGGGCCTTGGGAGAACAAGGAGAGGTGGGAGCGTGTGGATTTGCATCTCATTTGCATAGCCCCCGGGGTGTAATTGGGTGGATTTATTAACTGGATGAGTCTTGTAGGTCATGGAGGCCTTCAAAGCTTCTCGGCGACCATCATGGCTGGTTGGCCTGGGCAAGAGTTTGGGGTTGGTCATCTTGGAGGAGAGAAGGGTCTGGGGGAACTTAGAGCCCCTCAAGTCCCCCCAGATCCCTCCAGG